TTTAGGCCTTGGACAGTGCACTGAACGTCTGAAAACCAAGTTCTCTCTGGATCCTTGGAAAGAGGTTTTGAAATGGGAATTGTGCCTTCCTGGTGTGTGTGTGTGTGTGTGTGTGTGTGTGTGTGTGTGCGCGCGCGCACATGCATGCATGCATGCATGCGCACAGATGTATGGAGGAAAAGACACCTTGTGTCTGTTTCAGGAGAAAATGGGACTTCTGATCACTTCCCTTCTGGCATGTGGTCCGAGTTCCTCTAAGGTGCTTGTGATCCTGGAGAGGAACATGTCCTCTGTGGTCCAAGGTTCTGGGACGATGCGCTGCTCCTTTTCCATGCGAAGCCCAGACGGGCTCCTGGTGGGAGCCACACAGTAGGACCCCACCTTCTGGACAATCAGCACTCTGTTTATATGGACTTATCTGTTGTGGAAATCTATAAATGGAATCATATGACATGTAACCTTTTATGTCTGGCCTCTTTCACTCAGCGGAATAGCCTGGAGGTTCATCCACTTTGCCGCATACATCAGGGCTTTCTATCCCTTTTTCTGGCTGAGCAATGGCCCTTTGTCTGAGTAGACCACAGTTTGTATCACTCATCTGCTGGTGGATCTGCAAAGTGGTCAAAGTGCTCCCTTTGCAACAGTCATAGTGCAGATGGGTCCCTTGTCCTAGGGACTCAGCACAGCGTGAAGATGATTAAATCTCTCATCTTCGTCAAGGAGAGAGCGTGCTGGCCAGGAGGGCCACCATGGGGCCCTGTGGCCACGTGGTGCTCAGCCCTAGAGAGTCTCCCCTTCAGCAAACTTCCGTTGATCATTTGACAAAGAAAGCAGTTGAATCAAACTCCAAAAAGCAAGTGAAGCATTGACACAGCCACTGTCCTTCCCATCTCTGCCCGGGCAGCTCCGGGAGAAGCAAGCTCAGAGATGACTTGCGCAAGGTCACATTCCTCTTTTCCCTGGAGCCCGGCCCCATTATGAAAATCTTTCCCAACCCAGCACTGCAATCGCCTCCTGTCAGTCTGTGTTGAGATTAAGTTGAAATAGTTGCCATCCCTGGAGTATTTAAATGATAGTGTTTGGGGGCCCATTTAGGACAGAAATGATCAAACCCGTTCCATGAACAAGGCCACTGGAATGCAAGCAGGTGCAGCATGTAAATGCTGAGGCTCCCAGGCCCCCCTGAGCCCCTCCTGACTCCTTCCCCAGAGCTTTCCTCTCAGCAGGAAGATGACTTGATATCACACACATGATGAAAATGGCTGTGTGTGTAGGTTTTCCTGATAGGTCGCCTTAGAAAAAAGTTAGATGCCCCATCCCCATCGTGTGTTATGTAAAAGGAAATCCAATTTGAACCCTACTGTCTGCTCAATTGTTCTATGAACCCATAACTTCTCTGAAAAATACTTTTTATTAATTTTTTAAAAAGGAATCTAAAATCAGTCACTAGCAGTGGCGTACAAGGACTTTCTGGAATCATGGAATGTGACACACTGCAGCTCATTCTATCAATCTCACCAAAGAATAGAAGGGAAAACATCCTCTGCCCACCCACTGTTACCAATGCCATCCAAATAGCCACCATTTCTCTCCTGGTCTGCACCTTGTCCTCTGACTCCCTACGTCTGCTCCTCCCTCCCTCAGCATTCTCCTTCACATGCCATCTAAGGGGATCTTTCTCAACCGCAAATCTGATCATGCAAAAACAAAAACCAAAACCATTTCACAGCTCCCCATTGCTGCTAAGATAATGCCTGGTACCCTCAGCCTGGCTCACGGTCCCAGGATCACCTCCTTGCCCCCTCACTGGTCCAGTGCATTGGCCTGTCATTCAGTTTTGTGAGAGTGCCATGTTTGTTTGTTTTTTAATTTAGTACCTAAGATGCTGCACCTGTTTGTCCCATTGCTAAACCTATTGCCTGCCTTTTTCACATCAATAACTCCTTTTGTCTTAGAAAATATACACCAGGGACAGAGGGCTCTTGAGTCTGGTTCCCCCGATTCCCAACTCAGACATCATTTCTTGAGAGGGTTTAATACAGTCATTCTAGGAAGCAAAGTGTCTCCAGGGCTGCTGACTGGAGGGGCCATGCTTTTGTCCTAGGTTCTTATTCTTGGCATCTGTGAACTGGGTTTACCAGTGCCAGCATCGTATGATACCCACCTCTATCCTTTTATCTTTTTTTTTTTTTTTGTAAAAAAAAACAAACTTCAAAATACTGTGGTTAGACAAATTCTAAAACCTTGGGTGACATATAGATCTATATCTCTGCCTGTTTGATAGTGAGAAGTCGAAGCCACTAAAGCCCAGTGAACTCCTCTGCCACAAAGTATGTGTTGGTGTGTGTGTGTGTGTGTGTGTGTGCATGGAAAAGGCACCAGAAGGAACGTCTCATATCCTCCGAGAGAAATCTCTTTGCTTCGTGACTTCTGGTCTCTTTGGACAAAACCAGGGTGCACACAAAGTCACATTCACACTTTGTCACTTAATCTATTTGGGAAACACGTGCCTCTCTTCAGGAAGCCATTCTTTAAATTTCGTGCCAGTCTTCACAGTGAATTCAAGAGAAGTGAATAGAACTGTAATCATTTATCTTATTTGGGAAATAACCAGTGATCTGACAGATTCTCCCAATGACCTTCATTGTATTTGGTGCCCTCCCTTGGGTGTCTAGGTGGGTTGTGTTGTTGCAGAAGACCAAAGAAAGCCAAGGCTGCTTCAAAGAAGGGGAGGGACCCTGTTTAATACACCAGCGGCCTCAGGGAACAGCCTTCCAAATCTGAGTGAAGAAACATGCATGGGGCTTTCCTTTATAGCTCCCTTTGGTCTTTATCCTGCAAATATGGATTATGCTTCCGGTCCTTTTCTCGAGGGCCTTGCAAGAAGGCCCCCAGGTGTTATGGGTCTCCAGACCATTTCTGATGGTCTGGCCTGATGCCAGCATTAATCACCCTCTCTCCAGGGCAGTGCACTGTTCACAGTAACAGGTTCTGCAAGACCAGTATCTGGGAAGGAGGTAATGACTTAATTATAGGTTATCAGGAATGTACACTGAGCTTGCTGGCTTGGATTCAGATCACTAGCCCCAAATATCAGGGTTACATTGGCATTAGCCCTTTTTAGCCTTCTCAGTGTTGGGGAGTTCTCCATCGGTTATGGGGAGTTCTTGGCTCCCCTACCCGTGCCTTTTTTGCAATCCACACTGATATTCCCAAACTGTCCTTTTGTGCAGAGTTCAACGTTTTGGTGTTTTGACCCGTCCTCTAGTTGTGATGTCAACCGCCAGCTCAGGGTGCAGTGCCAGGAACCCACTCCATGGCAATGCCGGTGCAAATGAGTGCCTTAGTGCATCTTGTTTTCATTCTTTTAAAAAACAAGCCAATCTCAGAAGAAAATGAGTGTATTATTAATAGGTGTCATAAGCAGCCCTTGTCTCATAATAATCTTTGCCAAGAGTTTATGTAATATCTCCCAGTTTTAGTCACTTAGGATATTTTATTCTAGCAACAACCTTCTGATGTGGAGACTTGATTACCATTTTACAGGCGGGGAAACTAATTCTTAAAGCACCTAAATAATTTTCCAAAGATCACACAGATACTAAGGTTGTGACAAGATTTAAAAGAGAGAGAGAGATCCCATTGGCAGCTCGGAAACAGCCAAACGTCCCTGTGGGCTCAGGTTTGTGGTATGAATGGGATGACTGTGTGTTTCATGACAAAGGGAGAAAATGAGACGACTGAACGCGCTGGCATATATTGTTATAGAGGGCATTCCAAGGGCAGGTATGGCTGGAGATGACATTTGTTTAGTCCTGAAAACTGAACTTTCCTATAAGATGTGAGGATGGTGTTCATTTTTGCATATGCAAAATGGAGATGCTCTCCTGGAGCTGTTAGTGCAGAAGATGGGTGTGTCCTACATTCATGCCACCACTGGTTTCCTGCCAGGCCCGGGGGTTTCTGCCTTATCAGTGAGAGTATAGGAGAGGCCATTAGGTTCTGCAGCAGACAAAACACACACCACTCCAAACTGAAGCATACAAGCTATTATATATTTTCATAATATAGAACTTTAAAGTATAGTAATCAACAGTGGCAAAATATTTATGTCTTTGACATTAGTTTTTTTGTGAGATCCAACCTGTAATTGAGACCAGAGAAAACAGTACGGAAAAACGAATCCACAAGAACAGGATAAAAATACCATGAACAGCAAAATATGTCTGAGTATTTAAAACCGTATAGAAAAAATAAATTAGATGAACAATTGTGTAAATATAAATTAAAAAAGATGACATTCTTAATAAATAAAGTTTACTATTTACATTTTTATATATTGCTAAAAGACTTAACTTAGATCCATAAAAACACATGAACAGGAAAAAAAAATAAAACCCAAAATAGGAGCAGCAAATTTATGCGCATGAGGTACAGAAAAAGGATTGGAATCGTGTTTTGGTTCCGGTGTTTAGATTTTTTTTTTCCTTTTTCATAGTAGGCCAGTAGAATTCTCATGAGAATAGATTTTTAAGCACTTCAATGGAGAATTTTTTTTTTTTTGGTAGTTTCCAGAAGGTGCCAAACAGATTTTCAACATCATAATTAGAAATACCCATAATAATTATAACAATAATAAAAAGGTATAATATGGTACATAAATATGGAAGAGCAGTTTGTAATATGAATACATTTTCTCTAGACGAGATCACAGTTTTATTTTGTAAATATTACATTTAAGTATATATACACACACATATATGTACAACTATATATACATGTGCATATATATGTAAATTTATATTTTCATATAATATCTTTATATAGATAGGTATCTGCAGACAGGTTACTGATTATAGAGACCCCAAAAAGCAACTCAGTAATTGTTCAAAGTACTCCTCGCTGACTGCTGGTGTCTAGTTTGAGAAGCCCCAGGGGGTTTGCACTCAGAAAGCCAGATCTCCTAACCAAACACTGAGGGCCCTTCTGTGGAGCGGGAAATGGCCTGGGAGTGTGGAAGAGGAAGCAGTACACTGGCTTTTACTTTGCAGGAAGTAATTGGCTTTGAATCGAATGGTAGAACTCATCAAGGCCAGGATAAGCAGGGAAAGCACAATTTATCTAAGGATGAAGTATTCCCTAACACGAGCCTCTCTCTTAACACAGACTCCGGCTTTATCCCCTGGAGTATCAAACGCCCACTCACTGTCGTCCCTAAAAGGCCTTTGGGCCCCCACCTCTCTTTAGGGAGCCCGTGGATTGTGTGTGTAGCCTTGGCTCTCAGCTCCCTTTGGCCTGAGTAGAACCTCAGGGCCTCCCAATCCCCTGGCCTCCCATGGTGAGGTAGGTTAAGTAGTATTATCCCCATTTTGCAGTTGGAGAAACTGAGGCAAATGGAGAGGCGAACTGATGACTTGTTCAAGATCACTAAACAAACTGCTTGCTGCCTGGAGTCAAGATGTCTAGGTTCTTATTGTAGGGACATAATCCCTGTGTGGCTATTCAACTTTTCCTTTATGGGTCCAGCAGTGGGTAGGAATTTAGCAAAATATGAATGGGTTTAAAAAGAACAGGCTCTCATTTCATGTGCTATTTAGCTTTTAGGTGTGTTGCTTGCTGGGTTTGTTTTGTTTTGTGTCTCAGGAACCGTGGGGATTACCTGTTGGGTCGGGTAGCAGCATTTAGCCCTGTGGACTGTGCAGTGTGGTTCTAAGTGCAGAAAGCCCAATGCTACTGGTAGGGACACACACTTTATATTATGAGAAGCACAACACAGGATGTCCCCTTAATATTTGGTGAAACCAATTGCCAGCCCTCTCACTCCCTACAAACACACATTGCCACCAAAGAGACATAATGGCCTCCCAAACAACAACTCCACATCAAAGGGGACGTTGCCTGATTTTCTAGGCCTAGCACAACGTATAGAAAACAGCAGTATTAGGCTTCCCACTCTACCTCTCCTGTAGGGAAATCTTTATGCTTGTGTCTACCTATTCAGTCTATAGAATAAACAATTTTCCTTAGGAAGCACAAAAATAGTTTGTTTTTTTTAAAAAAAAAAATCTTATTTTTTAATCATGCATATGTATATTCTTTTAACCTCATCTATTAATTTCTATCTGTACAGTTTTGTCACCATCGATTTCTTCTATTTAATTCTGCACTTGAAGTAGTTCCAGAAAAACAACACCACACCACCCAAAACTCGTCACTTGAAAATAGGGTTTCCTTTCTTTCTTCCCTCCTTCCTTTCCTTCCTTCTCTCTAACATAAGTAAGACCTATAACAAATGGACAGTTGCAACCAAGTTAACACAAACCTGGAAGGGAGGTAGCTGAAATCTGTCTCAAAGAATTATTTTCAACAAATAGAATTTACGTCTTGGCCAGGTGAGACCGAGATCAAGAGCACTGTCTAGGCAAGAGCACTGTCTAGGCAGCGACTCAACCTGCTGCAGCCAGCAGGAGCAGCTGACACCCTCCATCCTCAAAGCCCTGCTCTTTATGAACACTGGTCTCTCCTCTCCGTCACACCCAATCAGGCGCCGAAACAGACTTCTCAAGGACGGCCTTCCCCTAAGAGGTGGTTGGCACCGAATTGGGGGTGGAGGTGGCAGTGGGGTGGGGATAATGCGAGTTCTCTGGGTAGGCAGGCAGGCAGGCAGGGTTGTGGCTTAAAAAGGCTTCCCAAGAGAGAGCTTGGAGGGCTGACTACCTCATCTCTTTCTTGCTGCTAACAGACAAATCCTTCTGTAGATGCAGATGCAGGACCCCAAGTGCTGGCAGAACACAGAGCTTCCTGGGAGTACTCCCTTTTCCTAAACAGATGATGGGAAGATGAGACGAGTTTATTCCCAGAAATAAAAGGAAATGGTGTCAGTGCACTGCATGAATAGAGCAGACCCACCTCCACTAAGGTGGGAGGAGGGCCTGTGAGTCACACCTCCCATGTGGGCACAAGGCCGGCCACCAATCCAGCAGCCTCTCTTGCCCAATGGGCTTAGCAAAGGGGAATTTGCGAGTGACAGGTTTGAATTGACGGGAAGGAGACCAGGCAGAAGTTTGCTCAGAGGGCTCCACTCCGTTTGGAGATAGAAGGCAGCCTTCAGGAAACTACTCAGCTGGAGAAGGTGGGGACAGACAAGGGGAAGAGGGAGAGGATGGGGGTCCATTTAAGGGAAGCTGGTGAGGTCCATTAGTCATGTTGTCTCGGGGGCTCCAAGGCTGTTTGCATTATTTACTGGAGTCATAAAGCAACGGGGAGAGCTAACGAAGTTATTTTTCTTAGTTCTAACTTTTGACCTAATACCACATGGGGTGATAACTCAAGAGCAAAAGGGGGGTCTCGAGAGTTGGGAAGAGTCTTAAGACACTGGAGAGGGGGTACAGAACGGGATGAAGTCTTCTATTATAATTATGATTTTGCTAATGATTGGCCCTAGTAATTGCAGAAAAAAACATGTCCTGAATGAAAATAGGAGTTTGTAAGGAAGAAACATGAAGGATTTGAGCCTGGCCTTAACAATGGTGGTAGCCTCTCCACTCTGGAACTCCACCCCAGAGTTGGTAATGTAGTGCGAGCCACACAAAACTCTCTAAGCACTGCATCCTTATTTGTGGGCACCTGTGCAAAAAGCACCTTGATAGATTTTTTTTTTTAATATCACAGACCACAGATGATGGCCAATAAGTATCTTTTCAAGCATCCTTGATCAGGCTGTTGCTGTGGGGGTGACAGAGTAAGGAGCTTTCTGAAGTTCTCGTTGGTCCCCATGGGAGAAAGCTATAGCAATGCCTGCCTCAGCAGCAGGAACCTGGTGGGGCAGCACGTATGCCTGGCGTGTTCCACTCCCATGCTAGACTGTGTTTTTGTTGGTTGTCTTCTCTAAACTTGAGAGGACGTGATTTATAGCAATCTTTATGGGCTATGTCTAATTTAGACCTTCCCATCGCCTCACTTTTTCAGTTCCAGGTGTCAGAAATTATATCAAACTTAACCATTCTCTCCACCTTTTCCTGTATTCATCTCTCTCCACATTCCTCAAAAGGAGTGGATGGAAACTGGCTTAAAAGAGGCAGAGGGCCCCAAAGAGAGGAGGCTCCCATGGGCTTTGACTAACTCCGCACTTTGGGAGATGGAATGTGGGAGACGGAAGGGTTGCCCACCCCCAGGTGTGGGCGGGAGCACTGGAAGATGGAAGATGGTGGGAAACATCATGACCATATTGGGTTGCTGGGGACTGAGACTGGCACCCTTGGACTTCCCTCTGATGGCCCCTGGAACATAGCTGAGACTGATCACATTCAAGATGACTCTGTTCCAGAAGGCTAGCTGCTCAGGGCCACCTGGAGGTCCTCAGGACCAAAGCCCGCTGTAGCCTGGACAGGCAGGAAGGCTCAGAGAAGGAGCATAACTCAAGAGTCCCTACAACTCTTAGCAGTCCCCAGATGGCTCCAGCATCGCAGAAACCTAACACTGTTCCACTTGATTATGAAATCTAACACTGGCTTAGACATCCTGGATCTGGCTGAGGGTTCCGACTCCCTCCCAGGGTGAGAAGCCCACCCACAGAGGACCGCACTTCCCTCCAGGGGGGCCAAGGAAGAGTTTCTCTTGCAGGAGGACTAGGGACGGAGGACCTGTGGGGAAATGTGGGTCACATTTAAGGCAGACTGTTGGGTTGTGTGGGGTTTTTCCTAACCTAGTCCTACCATCTTGGGTTACTCAATGTATAGGATAGAGCAGCAGGAAAAGTAGCAGCAAATGTGGTCCCAAGGCAAGATTTGGGGAATGGGTGGGTTCCGGAGGGATATTATGGCCTCATGCCTCAAGCAGGGGGCTCTTATAATACCTTGACATTGCAATCTTAAGCCATTTCCAGCTTGGCCTTAAACCCTGGAGTTGGGGTAAATCCCCCAATGGCAGCGGGAAAAATCAGGGGGCTTCATACACTTTGGATTCTTTACTTCTCCCTGGGCCCTACTTTCCTAGAAGGTAGGTGATCAGAGACCATTTCACTTCCAATCCCAAAGGACTGTACCGTTGTGCACATCCTACATATTACCAAGCCTCAGGGTGTGACCCATCTTGGCATCTCAATACTCGGTCTTAGCAGTTTCTGCAACTCTCTTTCTCCCAAGGACAGTGTTGGCTGGGAGCTTGGGAAAGGAAAGGTTGACTTTGTTCCAGTCTCTCTCTGCTCAGTCTCCAAAACTGCCCTCACACAGATGTTTGTATGGGTATGTATGCATGCATGTGTACTAACCACAGATGTGCACACTCCTGGGCACAGAGCATGTTTCTCGCTGTGGTCGTGTGACAAATGGTTAGAGTTTTAGGAGGCTTTGGACTGCATGCTGTGCATGTGATCCATCTAAGACTGTGGGGTGGGATCCCATGCCATTACTCAACATGGTGAGACTTGCTTCGTGCGCCCCCACTGTGAGTCCTTCCTGGGTGAAATTAAAGGCAGACCGGTTGGATGCTAAGGATCCCTGGTGTGGAGAGGCCATTCCGTGGAGCAGCTGACTGTGAAATCAATACCAAAGGGATGCGGGTCCTGGCGCTGGGAATTCTTAACTCCTTGTCCTTAGGGTTACAGTCTTTAGCCGTGGCTGTAACCCCGGAGGTCTTTCCGGCTGTGTTCTCGAGCTTGGGGATCCCGACAGGCACAGTCACCTTGTAGGTCACAGGACATGGGGAAGGGGGTGACCTGTGGAGAGAAAGAGAGGGGAGGTGAACCAAGTGTTTGGGTCTCAAGGAATACTTTTCAGAGAGGCAGGTCAGGGAACAACTGCTGGATTGGGGGGACAGCAGATTCAAGTTCGAGTCTTGACTTTCTTTTCTAGCCCCTATGATAGCTTGTACGGAAGCTATCATAGGGGCTAGAGTTGTTATCCTAGCCACTGGCTTGTTATCCTAGCCACTTTCCTTTTCGCTGGCATTTACCATGGGTCAGGCAATGTGCAAAATACTTTGCAAATACGGAAACACTGAACCCTTTGACAACTATGTAAGACAGGAACAAAAACAGTCACCATTTCACAGGTGGAGAAATGAAGGCTCAGAAAGTGGCAGGCATTCCCCCAAAGTAGTAAGTGACAAATCTTGTATTTCGAATAGGAAGAGCCACCTCTCTTCCACCCTCAGGCGCTTAGCTGTAGAAGTGATATGATGAGATTGACTTGCACTATGACCTCTTGGGCTGAATGAAATTGTGGGTGAAGAACTGTAATGTACTCTCCCAGAGCTGTTCAGAGTGTGTGCAATGGAATCACACTGTCGAGGTGATCAGTGAGATAAAGGATGTGAGAGTGCCTTTTAAGAAAACACAGTTCTCTGTATGGATTGGGCATTTCCATTTTGGGAGGCAGGGATGCAAGCCACAAAGCTCCTCTCAGAGTTAGGGCACCTGAGATCCTGTTGGGGACATTTCGCACAGATTTTGCATAACATTTGGTTGAAGGACCTAGGGAACAGATTTTAGCAAAAGAAAAGTGAGAGGCATACAATGGTTTGCTATATGTAGATATTACAAAGCTTGGGGAAAATAATGATTTGAAATTTTTTTCAAAAAGGAACAGTGAGTAGCCCTAGTGTCAATTCCCGCTCCATCTCCTCACGTGCTCTGTGACCTTGGGCCACCTTCTTTCTAGAAACAGATAGAGCCAAGCCAAGCAAACGTCTTCCCCGTGCAGCCCCTGTCTGAGCCCAAGCTGGGCTAACGCGAGCCAAGCAGATTTCACCTCATTGCATCATGACATTCACATCACACTTTCCCCAGAGGGTCCCCCATCTGCGCAGATGGATTTAGTGACCTCATTCGCCTCCTGCCTGGGCAGGGTCTCCAAGTGCTCATAGAGCCTCAGAGAGCTCTGACTTTAGGTTGTGGACTCATTCTGTGTAGCTAACATTTTTCTCTCTGCCTCTTGGCCCATCCTCCCTCCCTTTCTCCAAACCTCTCTCCATGTCCAAATGCAGGGATGAGCAGAAAGATTGAGGTATCAGCTCCTGCAGCTCTGTCATCTAACAGTGTGACCTGGGGCATGTGACAAGATCTCTGCATCTTAGGTACCTCAACTCATTCATTAAATGGAAACAGTGAAGCATAGTGTCCCTGAGGCTGTGGTGAGGGATGAGTGAAGTGACAAGAAACACCTATCACACAGTGCTTGACATATGCTCAGAGTTCAACTATATACCTATTTATGCACATATATATATTTCCTTCTCTCACTCACTCGGTGAGTCAGGAGCCATGTCAGTCCAGTTCATTCTTGTTTTCCAAGGCCTACTCCATAGAATGAGTGAGTGTATTTTCTGCTTCTCCTCTCTGACTCCTCTGCACCCACAGCCAGAGTGCCTGTTTCCCTATTAAAATGAAACCCACAGATGCTTGGTGCTGGCGGAGCCTTCTGGCAGCTGCCTCTTCCATGCAGTGTCTTTCTGCTCACAACTCCCTGCTGTTCCCTGCTTAGCACCTTTTCTTCCCAACCTTTATGCCCTTATGGAGGCTGTGCCTTCCGATCTAGAATATTCCCCCACAACCTCTTCACCTCCAGGAGAAGCACAGAGAGTTAGAATGAGAAAAGACGTGGAGACAACCCTCTAGTCTGATTGGCGAAACTGAGGCAGAGTCAAGTCCAAGTCTAACTGACTGAGGAGAGTTCCATTGTGGGAGCTAAGAGGCCTGGGTGGGCGTCCTCACCATCCCACTCGCTGAGCCATTTGGGGAAAAACCATAACCCTGAGTTACTACATCTGTAAGAGTGCGATTAAAAAAGCATCATATTTCACATGGTTGTGAGGATCAAACAAGAAGAAATATGCAAACGCCCCAGCACATGCCTAACACTCGGAAGATGCTCAATGCTAAATTCACATGTGCTGACTCAGATTTCCCACCAGCTCCAATTTCACCGTCTGTGACACCTTTCCTGCCTATGGTCCCCCCTCTCAGACTTGGGCAGCCTCTTTGTCCTCGACTCACCCATCCCTTTATCTGTCCCCTTCTGCTGCCCTTGCCCACATCCTAACATTACAATGATCCAGTTACCTCTAATATCTCCTGCACAATTCTCTCTGTAACTCTTTCCCATCAGGTGCTATGACCCATGAGGGACCGTTTCAGTCCAATTTCTCTCTCATGCATCCTGCCTCACCTCACACAAGCAAAAACTCAATAGATACTTGTCTTTTCAAATAAGACTCAAAAGTCCTTACCACGAGCTCAAGGCCTTGCAGGACCTTCTCTCCACACACTTCTTAGACCTCACCTGGCCCCCTTCTTCCCCACCTTCCCTGTAGCGTGTTTATTTATGGATTGGTTCCTCAAGTACTCTGAGTGCTTTCCCACTTCTAAGTCTTTAGCCATTAACGGTCCTCCACCCAGCTCTCTCCCTGGCAGCTCACCCACTCTGCAGGTCTCATCTCCTCCCTCACTGGCCTGACCCACAGCATCCTCACCTGCATCCCATCTCCCAGAGCCCTGTTTTCATGCTCCGTGTTACTGAAGCTCTTCTCACTTGTACACCAGCTCAGTCGAGGCAGGGACCATATCTGTTTTGAACTGAGTCTTTATAGACAGAGATCAGGTGAGGCCAGGGATGGAGGGACAGGTGAATGCACGGATGAATATCCAGGCAGCACACAGGCCAGGCAGCCTCTGCTCTTGCCCTCACTTGCTTGGCAACTTAGCACAAGTCCCTGCCCTTCCCTGAGCTTCGGTTTCCCGATCTTACATTAGTTAAGATTGGATTTTAATGGTTTGTACCTTTCTGTCTCTATGAAAGTCCTCAGTCTGAGAAAGACAGAAGGCAACTCCTGGGCAGAAAGTACCTAGAGATGCACATTCTGCACACGCTCCTTGCGTGCTCCCTTTCCTAACACCCCCAGTTCCACCAGCTTCTCCTTAGCCATCAGGCACCAGGACCCTGCCTCCAGTTGGTTTCTCAAGCTGGTCTGTCACCCTGGCTCTGTGGGTGTGAGTAACCATTCTCTCTCCTCTTGGGTCAGCCCAGGCCATTTCTGCATTTTCCAAAGAAGTGTGTCTGGCACCTAAGGAAGGAACCACACAAAGAACACAGTCGAGTCTAGGTTTGCTCTCAGGGGCAGGTCTGCAGATAGGCAGCTCCTCGTCTCCACCACATGCTGAACTGCAGTTGCATTTACTGAGCCCTCCCAGGAGTTCGGAAGCAGACAAGCCCAGCTTGGGGTGGGCACTGCCCTGTGGACTCACCCCCCCGCCCCGATCTGTAAGATGAGGGTCTTCATAAATACCTCGCAGGATTCTGGGAAGGAGTAATGAAATAACGTTGCCTCCAAACCAGCTCGCAGGTGCCCAGGGCAGACGCCCAGTGCCTTGTTCCCTCCTCCTGCCCTTTGCTCGCCTCTGTGGGAACTGCCTGTCCTGAGCTCCCTCTGCACAAGCGCCCTCCTGACCAAGGGCCTACACCTACCTGGGGAGAGAAGGGAGGCGGTGGCCAGGCCTCCACCCTCCCAGGTGCTCCTGGACCTGACCTGGATAGATTGGGAAAGCCCAAGTGTGCAGGTCCATAGCAGCGAACATTTCACACACATGCATGCAAGCACATGCACATGCTCATGCATGCATGCACTCACACGTTCGTACAAGTTCACAACAGTGAGCACCACTTTACAAAAACACACGTGTGCATGCACGCACTCACATGCATGTCATCATTTCCTGAGGGCCTCCCACTTGCAGATGATTGCCATGTGCTAGCATGGCATTACCTCATCAGGCTGTTGTTTGTTATTAGCTGCCCATCATGCAGATGAGAAAATAGAAGCCTCAGAATGTTTACAACAAAACACACCCGCCCTGGGCTTCATATCCTGTCAATCAGTAGATGATGCAGGATTCCAAACCCACTCAAACACTGAGAGTTTTCAGCGAGTGAGGGCGAGTGCCTGCCTCACCACGTGGCTGGCCGACTACTACTTTGCCAGATAAACAATAGCCCCTTCTCCCTTACATGCCCGGCCTTCAGTAAACACAGTGTGCACCATCGCACTCACCCTTCCCAACAGCCCTACTGAGCAGCTATTCTGACCATCCCTGTTCCACAGCACGGAGGAAACTGAGATGCAAGCGGTGAGTCACTAGCTGGCAGGTAGCCTGGGTTCTGCATCCCTGTTTGCAACCATTCCTCCCTCCTGTCCTCCAAATGGCAGGCAGAGTGGGACAGGAGAAAGAAACTGGGGCATCCTGAGTTTTGTCCCGACAAAGTCAGAGCTCAGCAGAAACCTCAGACCCCTGCCTCCCCCAGTAGCTGCCGCCTTCTCCCCCACGTAGCCTCCCACCCACAGCACAAGCCCTGCAGTGGCCAGTTTCCATCTGCAATACCTAGTGCCGTGTGGCCAGGCCACCCCATTAATGGTTGGCCACCCACTCTGACATTCTGTCAACAAGCCCAGGCCAATGACTAGAGGCCAGGATTCTCTCCTTTTTCCCTCTGGGCTAAGGATGTCGCTCAGGCACAGGGGTTTCCTCCTCTGGGTAAGCTGCCTGGGCTAACACCTCCACCCACATGTGTGAGTGGCTCAGGAATGCAGGCCGAGCAAGTGTCCTACAGGCCCTGGCCACAGGTCTCCTCTGAGCTGAGAGATAGGCAGAGGCTGGATTTGGACTCTGATTCTGCAGAGAGGTCCCCAGCGGAGAGCGTGCAGTAGGAGGAGTGAGAGTTGTCC